GGAAAGTGAATTTGCTATTATATAGTTATTAACAGAAAAATCAAGAATCTGTCCATTTCTAGAAATGGATACGACAAACGAGATATTAGTAAAAAATCATAAATTCATCTATTCCCTAAAGTGTATGAAATAGCATTTAATAATTATGGTCATGGACATGAAAGTAGTGACCATAATAATTTACACTATCACTATTCTAATTCTAAGAATACATTTTACCCACTAAAAGTGGATAAATAATTTTTTTCACTAGAAATGGATGAAAATTTCTCTAACTCACTAGAACTGGATGAATAGTTTTAACCCACTAAGGGATAGATGAATAGTTTTAACCTACCAAGGAGTAGATGAATAGTAAAAAGATACAACAAAATACAAAAGTGGACTGAATAAAAGAAATATAGAAAATGTATTGTCACCATCTACTTGTTGTACTTCTTAGATTTTATCAAGTATAACTGAAAGCTAAAACATCCTATGATGATTTTAACCATGGTTAAGTTGATATATCACATCAAGAAATTGTTGATTTTCTTATCCACACTGAAAAAAGAACTGATCATTTAATTAGTAATGAAAATATTCAAGAATGAAATTTCTTAGTAACATTTGATATATTTTAGTATACTATATTATAAAGATGCTTTTATATGTTCTCATTATATTTAAATGATATGTTCTTCTTATGTATTTTAATTTTATATTTAATGTTCTTTTATATTAACTTGTAAGTTTCTTATTGCATTTTATTGAAGAAAAATATAAATATCTATCTTATTGGATCTAAGATCAATGATGCGAATTTATGTCCAGCAAATAATGCTTCAATGCACGTTATATGTAAAGGCAAGAAATATTTTTCCACTTGATAATAGGAGAAGCAAATGTCAATACAATATATGGTAGTACAAGATTAATTGAAAGTTCTGAAAGAGTCAATATTTTACTACATGTCCTATCCTCTATATTGTACTACACAAATATCAGAATGATTGAAACTCATGCTATCATAAACCAAAAGTTTATAAATGATTTTAATATTTGGCACAACCAGTTGGACCATCCTGGATCAATAATTATGCAAAAAAAATATTAAAAATTAATGTGGTTATCTATTGAAAAGCCAAAAAAATTTCAATTTGATAAATTTTCATGTGTTGCTTTCTCTAAAGGCAAATTAATTATAAGATCATCACCAATTGAAGTTGGAACTAAATCCCCTACATTTTTAAAACGTATTCAAGGTGATATATACATTCACCATATGGACTATTTAGAAATTTTATGATTTTAATAAATGCATCGACTAAATAGTCATATATGTGCTTATTATCAACTTGCAATTTGGCATTTACAAAATTACTCACTCAAATCATTCATTTGCAAGCACGTTTTCCTAATTTTGCAATCAAAACTATTCGTCTTAAAGATGCTGGTAAATTTACATCTCAAGCCTTTGATATTGTATATTAATTGAAATAACTATTGAATAATTTGTTGCTTATATTCATGCACAAAAGGATACAGTGAAATTGTTTATTAAACACTTCCAATTAATTGTAACATCGATGCTTTTGAAGTCTAAACTCTCAATTGCTGCTCGGAGGTATGCCATTTTGGATGCAATAATACTTATACACATCAAGCCAAATGAATTATTATAAATTTTCCCTTATACGATTGATTTATGGTCAAAAACCAAATATTTCCTATTTAAGAAATTTTGAGTGTGTGGTCTACCACAAGGCATAAAGATAGGTCCTTTCTAGAGGCTAGAAATATATGTTGGGTATAAATCTCCATCTATAATTAAATAGGAGATTTATTCATAACAATGTTGCCAACTCTCATTTTAATAAAACAATTTTCCCAACATTAGGGGGAGAAAATAAGTAGCTAGAAAATGAAATTTCTTAGAATCAATTACCATTATCTAGTTTTGATCATCGTACAAATCAATATGAGTTTGAAATTTAAAAAATAATTCATTTATAAAATATAACAAATCAGTTGTCAAACGTATTTACTAACCTAAAAAGAATAATTAAATCTTATATACCAGCTGTAAATGCTCTTATTAACATTGATATCCCTATAGGACAAAGCATACCAGGAATGTGGAGACGATTCAGTTCCAAAGATAAAATCCTTCAAAAAGAAAAGGAGTAAATATTCAAGAAGGTTAGAAAGAGGAAGCAGAAACTTTAGAAGAGATCCCTAACATGATTAATAAAAATTTCAGAAGAAATTCAGTTACCTAAAATCACTGAAAATGAAGATATCTCAATCAATTATGTCATGATGATAAAAAATAAAACTGAAATGAAATAAACGTCAATGATATGTTTACATATAATGTAGCACTCAATATTATGAAAAAAAAATGAAGATCTTAAACTTAGATATATCAAAGAATGTAGAAATAGAAATGATTGGCTAATGTAAAAAAATGCAATTAAGGTGAAATTGAATTCACTTACAAAACATAAAGTTTTTAGACTTGTAGTCCGTAAACCAAATAGTGTAAAACCAATGGGATATAAGTGGGCATTTGTATGAATATGAAATGAACAAACTGAGATTATGAGATATAAACCACAACTTGTCGAATAAGATTTTATCCAAATACCTAGTATTGAGTATGAAGAGATATATTCTCTTGTGGTGGATGCAATTAAAATATTAACTAGTCTATCAATAAATAAGAAGATTGAAATGAGTCTAATGAATGTAGTTACAACCTATTTATATAGTTCATTTAATATCGATATCTATATGAAAATCCTTGAAAGATTTAAATTGCTTGAAGCACGTACATAATTCTTGAGAAATTTATTCGATCAAATTAAATAAATATGTATATAGATTAAAGCAATATAAAAACATGTGGTATAATCGCTTAGTGAATATATATTGAAAGAAGGTTATAAAAATGATCCTATTTATCCATGTGTTTTTATAAAAAGATTCGAATATGAATTTATCATAATTACTATTTATGTCAATGACTTGAACATTATTGAAACTCCTAAAGCATTATCAAAAGTCATAAATTACTTAAAGAAATAATTTGAGATAAAAGACCTTGAAAAGATAAAATTTTGTTTTGGTCCTAAGATTGAGAACTTGACAAATGAAATTTTTGTCTATTATTCAAATTATATAACAAAAGTGTTAAAATGATTTTATATGGACAAAGCACATCCATTGAGTTCACCAATAGTTGTATGATAACTAGATGTAAAATGAGACATCTTCCGACCTTGAGAAAATGATGAAGTATTTCTTGATACTGAAGTATCATATCGTACTATAATTGGAGTATTAATGTATCTTGCTAGTAATACACCACCTAATATATATTTTGCTATAAATTTATTAACAAGATATAATTCTGCTCCAACTCGAAGGCATTGGAATGGAATTAAATATAAACTTCGACATCTCTGAGGAATTATATATATGGCCATATATTACTCAAATGTATCCAAATCAGATTCAATTAGTTATGCAGATGCAGGATATTTATCTTATCTATACAAAACTCAATCTCAAACAAGTTACTTATTTTCATATAGAGGTAAGGCTATTTCACGACGTTTTATAAAACAAATTATAATTGCTATTTCTTTTAGTCATGTAGAAATTTTAGCAATTCATAAGACAAGTCGTAACTTTGTCTAGTTAAGATCTGTCATTTAATATATTTGAGGATCGTGTGTCTTATCAATCAAAAGGGAAAATCCAAAAATGCTATTTAAGGATAATACTGCTTGCAGAGCTCAATTGAAGGAATGATACATCAAAAATTCGTTCAAATGACAATCTAGCAAATTTGTTCTCTAAAGCCTTTCCTACTACAATATTTAAAAAGTTGGTACAAAAAATTAAGATGTGTCACTTTAAAGATCTCAAATAATATAGTCATTAGGAGAGTGAGATACACACTATACTCTTTTTTTCTTCACCAAGTTTTTTTTCCCACTAGGTTTTTCTTAATAAGGTTAAATGAGGTAGTATTTCAAAGTGTATCCTTAAAAAGAATTATGTACTCTTTTTCCTTCATTAGAATTTTTTTCCATGAGGTTTTTTCCTAATAAAATTTTAACAAGGCATATTTTTAATACAATAGACATTCAATTGGAAATGTTATGAATATATATGAATATCCATTGTATTTTATCATATCCAATGTATCTCTTCACATCCAATGAACCTCCTCATATACAATGTACATATATATGTAAGTACATTCCTATCTTCTAGATCCATTCAGTATATATACATCCCTATTAACTAATTTTATCCTCTCTATTTATGTAAATGAATTCCCCATCCATCTATGTAAATTTATAAATAAAGGCATTATAGTTGACGATATGCACACTAGAAGAAGAAATAAAATTAAAAATCTCCTTACTATTTCTTTTTAATATTTGTCTTTCAAAGATGTCAATTTTAATTTTTATTTAATTGTGATTTAGGAGGAACTTCACAAATAACGCCTAAAACACTCCACCTAAATATCGCGATTATTATTATTTTTAATTTAGACATTATGGAAATAAGACGCTTTTTTTGGTTTTGAAAGAGGATATAGAATGGCCAAATTCAATAGTAACCACCCCTAAATACCCTTCTTTAATGAAAATCTTTTATAGGAATTAATCAAAATTAATACAAGGATATAATTTTAAAAAAGTAACATAATTGAAAAAATGAAATTTAAAAAACAAAATCAATTAAAAAATAAATCCAAATCCTCATTTACAAAACAAATAAAATCATAATTATATCTTTTATTTTATATAATTGATTATAAATTAATTTCAATTGAGTTGACCTTAATTGATTCATGACGTCGAATTTAAAAATTGAAATTATTAATCATAGTTAGACAAATAAATGTTTAAATTATTAGCCATCGTCATTCCTATTGAAACGATTGGAAAATGCTGAACATAATCCTTTTGGGTCAAATGGGCTAACACTTGCATCCAGGCCAAGACCCAACTCTTTGTTTTCCACCGGGAAACACTGCAAGCGGCTAAAAGGAAAAAGAAAAAGAAGCAAACAAAGATAATTTCATTAGAAAAGCAAAGCAAAACCAGAGTGAGAAATGGAGGACGCAAAGGCAATGGCTCATCAGCAGCAGCAATTTCTCTTACAGCAACAGCAGCAGCAACATCAGCAGCAACATCAACAGCATCATCAACATCAACAACAGCAACAGCAACAATTTCTTCTCTTACAGCAACTTCAAAAACAAGCCCAACAACAGCAGCAGCAGCAGCAACAGCAACAAGCAATATCTCGTTTCCCATCAAACATAGATGCCCATTTACGTACTACTCCTGGTGTTCTTCATCACCGTCCAATTAACATCCAACAAAACCCTAATTCTAGCCCTAACCCTAACCCTAATTCCACTCCTAATTTACAACAACAGCAGCAGCAGCAGCAACCACAACAACAGCAACAGCCACAGCAGCAACAACAGCAGCAGCAGCAGCAACAACAGCAACAGCAGAAGCAGATCCGACCATTGAATCAAGCGGAGCTCCAAATGGCTTATCAGGATGCCTGGCGTGTTTGCCACCCGGATTTTAAGCGGCCCTTTTCGTCCCTTGAAGATGCCTGTGAGAGGTTTGTCTGGAAATTCTTTTTGTTTTCTTGCTTGTTTAGAAAATGAGCAAAAGATAGGATTTTTATTGGAAATAGAATTATGGGTTTTTGTTAATTATTTAGGTGTTTTGCGTGTGACTGGCGTGAAAATGGGAAAAGATGGGATATGTTGGAAGCCTAATAACGGGTTTTTCTTAAATCTTCAGTTTCTTTTTTTCCTTTTTTTCTTCTCTTTTTTGGTCCAGAGAATGTGAAAAGACTGGGATTTTGAATAATGGATTTTTTAATTATTTTATAGAATTTTGGCTCGTATGTGTAGCATTCTAAATTAATTTATGTATAAATTTATGCTATTTTCTAGTTGAAAGTTGAAACTTGTATTCCTGCAGTTGAATTGTGAGAATTTGGGCAGGTTTGTAATGTAATGATGATATATTGTTGTATCTGCTAGAGAAATTAGGATTGTAATATTTGTGACTGGCATAAGTTTCTAAGTAGTGCTAGGATTGTAGGACTGTTTACAAAGATTTAGGGACTTGGTTATGTTAGACAACTGAAAGCAATTTTGACATCGTGAGATCTGATTGTAAATGAGATTTCCAGCAACTGTGGGAATTAAATGGATGATTGAGCTTAATGTCGGTTTGATTCATGGAGTCAGTTTTTGTTTTGTCTAATTCTTCCAAGATTGAGGAGGATATATGTACAAGAGTATATTATATCACATTGTGCTTTGGAAATTTATTGGAATTCATATGCATAAGACGGAAAATTTTGCTAATGTGTTGCGACACATGGCAATTTGTTGGAAACAAAGGGTGGGAGTCATCCACAGGTGGCTGGCAAATACTTGAGAAGGTCACTTTTGGATGGTTTCCCTGCAAATAGGGGATAAGATCAGATAGAAACTTATTAGAGATCTCAATGTTTGGAGTTATGTGCTATATGT